AGGGACAAGCCTCACCATACTCCTCCTCTCCTCCAGCCATAAGACAGACCCTCAGAGTGACAGTAGCTGGCACCTGGGTGCTGTGAAGGGCAGCATGCTGCCCTGGACATCCCCTGGGTCACCTTTGGGCCCTTGGGCAGGAGCAGCAGGGCCAGTCCACCATGAGCGCTGGTTTGGGAGTGTGATTGAGGCTACGGTTAAAAAAAAAGCCGGTAAGGATGAGATGTTCCTCTCTTGAGGGCACATTCATCCCACCTCAGTACAATATATACACACTACCTAAGATCCTATATATAATATAAAGTCATATACATTAACGTGTGTGTGTGTGTATACAGGTGTATGTTTTTTTCCATGAAAAAAAAAAAAAAAGTTTCAGAAAAAGTCATTTTGATGACATGAATTGCAGGGCTGGGCCACTGAGGGCCCACGAGCGAGTTCCCCAGGGGATGACCCCTTCGAGACGCCCCTGGTTGTGCCAACATCCCACTTCCCTCCCCAGCCTGGCCCTGCGGCACGGGAGCTTGTTGAGGGTGGCAGCATCTGCGGTGGCACCCAGACCTGCCTGGGGCTGGAGGCAGGAGGGTCCCCGGGGTGTCACCAGGGCTGTGCAGGAGCTGGTCCCGCGGTTGGGTGGTGTTTCCAAGAGCCGGGGCTGACGGGGAGCAGGGCATGAGGGGATTTTGCCGAGGCGCTCTCTGCATCACTTCTGCCACCCGAGAGGGCGAGGGAGGGGATGATGAGACATTTGGGGGCTGACTTTTCCGTGAAGTGGCGCGCTGCTTTGGTTAGCAAAAATCCCCAGCTCTCCCTCGCGCTCCCGCCCGGGGGGGTGGGTGACGCAGCCCTTGCTGGGAGTGACACCCTCCACTTGCTGCACCCTTCCAGTCTCGCCTGCCATCGCTGCCCCGCGGCCACCCCACTGGTGTGTCCTGTCACCTGCGGCCAGGCAGTGGGCTCGGGGCTGTGGAGGGAACTCGCCTGGTGTGTCTGGTGGGAACGATCCTTACATCTTCAGGATGGGAGAAGGGGTATTTTCCCTGCCCAGGAGGGGAGGCTGAAGCTAGCAGGACTCCCATGCCGCCTTCTGGCGCCTGCCGTTTCTCCCAATGACCTTGAGGCAGAGGCTGGAGGCAGCCGGCTGGCTCCAAGGGCAGCGTGTCCCCGTGTGAAATGCCAGCTCTGTCTATAAATAACACCTGGTGTGGGTCTCTCCGAGAGACTGAGCCCTCTCTTCCCTTGTGCCGCAGGGCTCTTGCCCCCTTGTACAGATGGGGAAACTGAGGCATGGTGAGGTCCTTGACCCTGCCTCACAGCAAGCCCATGTTGCAGCCCTGTGGGTTTGGGTCACTGGGAGATGTTTCGCAGAGGCAGAGGGATGGCTCCCAGAAGGGAAGGGGACGATTTGAGGGGGGCTATTGCTCTGCCAGGAAGCTCCATACCTTGTGCCACCCCAGCTGTGCTCTCAGGGGAGCCAGGGAGCCTTCCTGTGCCCAGAGAAGGGGACCTGCAGGGGCCCGGTGTCTCCCACCCTGCAGAAGCCCCCCTGCCCTTCTCACTCGCTGCTCCCTCCCGGCCATATCTCCCAGGGATGGTGGCTCCTGCCCCACTGGGGACCTCCCAGGGCAATCGTAGGGGAGCACACAGGCCTTATCTGCAGGCCAGCCGCGGGCAGGGCTCCTTGCCATCCCTATCAGTGGGGTGGCTCCAGACCTGGGGCGGAGGGAAACCAGCCCCATCCCACCGCGCTGGGGCCAGGGCTGGGGCCGTTGCCATGACCTTGTGCTGGCCGTTGCAGGGAGCTGCTCGAGGGGTCCAGGACCCCTCTCTAGCCCGGATTTGCAGCGGTCCAGCAAGG